TTGGATTTATACCCCGCCCTTCACTACCCAAAGGTGTCTCAGAGTGGCTTACAAACTCCTTTCCCTCCCCCTTCCCACCACAGACATCCTGTGAGGTAAAAGAAGAAGAGATTGGATTTATACCCCGCCCTTCACTACCCAAAGGTGTCTCAGAGTGGCTTACAAACTCCTTTCCCTTCCCCTCCCCACAACAGACACCCTGTGAGGTAGGTGGGGCTGAGAGAGCTCTTGAACGCTCTTTTTCAAGAACAGCTGTGCCAGAGTTATGGCTTGCCCAAGGTCATCCAGTCAGGTGCAAGTGGAGGAGTGGGGAATCAAACCCGGTTCTCCCAGATTAGAGTCGGTGCACTTAACCACTACACCAAATTGGTGTATGATAACCATCTTCAAGTACTTGAAGGGCTGACATCTAGAGGATGGTGCAGAGTTGTTTTCTGTTGCCCCAGAAGGTCAGACCAGAACCAACGGGTTGAAATTAAATCAGAAGAGTTTTCAGCTAAACATAAGGAAGAACTTCCTGACAGTTAGCGCGGTTCCTCAGTGGAACAGGCTTCCTCGGGAGGTGGTGGCCTCTCCTTCTTGGGAGGTTTTCAAACAGACTAAATGGCCACCTGACAGCAATGCTGATTCTGTGACCTTAGGCAGATCGTGAGAAGGGAGGGCAAGAAGGGTTGCCTCAGTGCTTAGTTCTCGTGGCCCTTTCTTACACGACCAGGGAAATGCTGATTCCCACTTCGGGTTCAGGAAGCAATCTTTCTCCAGGCCAGTTTGGCCGGGGATCCTGGAGGGTAGTTGTTGTTTTTTGGTCCCCTTCTGGGCCCAGATCAGGGGTCACTGGGGGTGGGAAGTATTTGTGAATCTCCTGCACTGTGCAGTGGGTTGATGACCCTAGAGGTCCCTTCCAACTCTAGGATTCTAGTGGTTTGGTTTTTTTTTACTTGATTGTTTTGATATCTACAAAATACTTGGCACATTTTTCCCTGGCCTGCCTGACAGCTGAGTCTAACCAGAGAGACATCCACGAGAAGACCAGAAGGGCCCGGTTCACCTTGTATGTCGTCGCTGAAGGTGCAGTATTTCTCCCTATACTTCCTCAAAAAGCGGAAAGCGTTTTGGTTTCCGAAGTCTTCAAACTGAATGAGCTGGCATTTTGCAAACTGCGTAAAACAGAATGCTTAGGAGGACATTTTTGCAAAGGGAATAGGGCTACCTCATAACCGATGGGTCCAGGAAAACACGCCATGTTCAGCATTGTACTACCATGTTCAGCATTGTTTGACACATCGTGATTAATGCTTATGCTTCATTCAGACAGCAGTTCGATTTCAAAATCTCAAAATTCCTAGTCCAATTACATTGCTCATTAGATGCACCGATTACATTGCTCATTAGATGCACCGTCGGACTGATTGCGCTGATTTCTGCCGTGTGATCCGCCTGTGGCCTCAGTTTACAAGGTTTACAAGATTATGCATGGGAAAGAGCAGGTAGAGAAAGAGGTACTTTTCTCCCTTTCTCACAATACAAGAACTCGTGGGCACTCCATGAAATTGCTGAGCGGTCGGGTTAGAACGGATAAAAGGAAGTCCTTCTTCACCCAAAGAGTGATTAACACATGGAATTCACTGCCACAGGAGGTGGCGGCGGCTACAAGCATGGACGGCTTCAAAAGGGAATTAGATAGGCATATGGAGCAGAGGTCCATCAGTGGCTATTAGCCACAAGGTATAGATAGGGGCTCTGGGGCAAGTGATGCTCTGTCTTCTTGGTGCTTGGGGGGGACCAATAGTGGGAGGGCTTCTAATGTCCTGGCCCCACTGGTGGACCTCCTGATGGCACCTGGTATTTCTGGCCACTGTGTGACAGAGTGTTGGACTAGATGGGCCTTTGGCCTGATCCAACATTGGCGTCTCTTACGTTCTTATGTTCAGTGAGAAAAGTCGACTAAAAATACTGGAAATAAAGAAATCCAGAATTTATACCTGTCTATAATGGCCTCCATGAACTCGTCGATGAGGTCGTCGTAAAGTTGGGACCGGTCTCGTTTCTGGTAGAGCCCCATATAGAATGGGTCTTGCAGAAGAGTCTAATGAAAAAGATGGGGAAAGCGATAAAAGAATCAATCAATATTTGGCACACCAAGCTACGGACTGACACTTCTTGCCATTTCCATGGAACAAGGAAGTTTCCAGTAGCTTTCGAGTAGCCTTTTTACTTCAGCAGAAAACTTTAATAAAGGACACTTTAAAACCCTAGGGCAAGGTGGTAGAAACTGTTATCAGAAGCCAACGATAAAAGGCCACGGTAAGACAGCATCAGCTCTTCCAATGGCAGGGACAAGCTCCCTTAACACCTCTTCCTTGTAACTCCATTAGAGATGTGAAGGCCCGGGAAAAAACCGGAAAAATGCAGGAAAAAAACGGTTTTTTCCCATTTTTTCCCTGAAGCCTTTTTGTTTTTTTCCGAAAAATTGGAAAAATTGAAAAAAGAAAAAAAATTGATTATGGAACGTTTGATTTTAACATGATGAATAAAATATTTTAAGACAAGGTGTTCAAATATTTTCCAAATCATTTCTAAAATATATATATATGGTATCAGATTGATCTAATTTCTGTGCACTGAGGACAAGCAAGTCCTAGGTTACAAACTGAACCCTCCAATGCAAGAACAAGATGCATTTCTTCCTTTAGGAGGTGCGATTGTCAGAAGAAAATAAAAAAGTTTCAGTTTTGTTTTTGCATGTGGGTGGGTATTCTGTTTGAAATAATTGTTTGGATACACTATATTTTTAATATGCTAATTGTGATAATTTCATGCCATGTGAATAAAGAACTGACAGATAACTTCAAAGTACAGAAAGGAACAAGGCAAGGTTGTCCGTTATCACCGTTATTATTTATCTGGGTATTGGAAATACTTTTACAAAAAATACAGTACGATCAAGAAATAAAGGGCTTGACACATAAAGGACACCAATACAAATATCGAGCATTTGCAGACGATGTAATGTTTATGGTGGAAAACCCAACAGAAAAATTGACATTGCTTTTTCAAAAAATAAAGGAGTTTGGAGAATTGGCCGGCTTTTACGTAAATAAGAATAAAACAAAACTTATATGTAAAAACATGATCAAACAAAAACAAGTGGAACTACAAGAACTGGTACAATGTGAAGTAGTTAAAAAAACAAAATACCTTGGAATTGAATTAACGGCAAAAAATATAGACCTATATAAGAATAATTATGAGAAATTATGGACTAAGCTGACTCAAGATTTTAAGAAATGGGATAAAATGAACTTATCACTGATGGGAAGAATATCAGTTATAAAAATGAATGTCCTACCACGTTTGATGTTCCTGTTCCAAACAATACCAATTCTGCATAAAACGGATTTGTTGGCCAAGTGGCAACAAGAGTTGTCAAAATTTGTTTGGGCAGGCAAGAAACCAAGGATCAAAATGAAAATACTTTGTGATGCCAAAGAAAGAGGAGGTCTACAAATGCCAAATCTTAGACTATATTATGAAGCGGTTTGTCTAACATGGATGGATCAATGGGTGAAGCTTGAAAATGACAGATTGTTGGGGTTGGAAGGGCATGATTGTAGATTTGGCTGGCATGCATATTTATGGTATGACAAGATAAAAATGGACAGTTTTTTTAAACTTCACTTGGTGAGAAAAGCTTTGTATATGGTATGGACAAGATATAAGAAGTACCAGAGTGACTTAAGACCATTGTGGATTGTACCAGTAGAAGTGTTGATATCTTACTCAAGACAGCGAGGTAGAGACTGGTTGCCATATAGAGATTTAATTAAAAAAGAGGGAACAGAGTGGGTAATGAAAAAGCAGAATGAAATTGAATATGAATATGAGTGGTTGAAATATATGCAGATTTATGATCTTTTTAGATCTGACAAAAAAAACTATGGTTTTAGAGAGGAAAAAAATGAAATTGAAAAGGTATGGGAGAGTGGAGGAGGAAAAAATATTTCTAAAATGTATAAGGTGTTGTTAAAATGGTATACTGAAGATGAAACTGTTAAAGAACAAATGTTAAAATGGGCTATTAATATGAATAAGGAAGTGGATATGGAAACTTGGGAATATTTGTGGAAAAACTCTATTAAGATCTCGACATGTACTAATGTTAAAGAAAACTGTTATAAGATGATGTATAGGTGGTACATGACACCTAAGAAGATTGCAAATATGAATCAAAATATGTCAAACAAATGTTGGAAATGTAAGAGGCATGAGGGCTCATTTTATCATATGTGGTGGACTTGTGAGAAAGCTGTAGACTTTTGGACAAAAGTCCACAATGAAATGCAAAAAATATTGAAATGTTCTTTTAAAAAAGCACCGGAAATTCTGCTTTTGGGACTTAAAATGGAAGAAGTCAATACGACTAAAAAGACTTTACTCTGGTACCTGATAGTGACAGCGAGAATGATTTATGCTCAGTTTTGGAAGACAGAAAAGGTACCAGAGGTTGAAGAATGGATACAAAAAGTTCTGTTCATGGCACAAATGGATAAGATTACAAAAAAACTGAATAACAAAGAAGACGATGAGTTTTTTGGAGAATGGAATGATTTTAAAATTTATCTGGAAAAGAACTGGGATGTGAAACAAAACTTAATATGTTTAGATCAATATTAAGTCAAACGATGTTATCTTTAGATTGTAATGATGAAAAACTGATATTGTTGATGATATGAAGTAATTTGGAGCAGGGGTGGAAGCATTGTGGGAAGCCATTGGAGGGAGGGGAGGAACTGGGAATGGGGTAGACAATTGATAGAATGAAATGTTTTATATGTTGTATTCCTGAGAAAATAAAATTTGTTTACCAAAAAAAAAAAAAATTTCCGGAAATGTTACATCTCTAAACTCCATCAACCAAACCCACACGATTCAGACTTCAGGGCGCCACAAAGAGCAAACCCACAGCTGGAAGAAAGTATCTGCATCTCAAACACCTCGGAGATGACCAGAGAGGTAGTGTACCACAGCAGTTAGAACCCCCGACTATGACTTGGGTTCCAATCCCTGCTCAGCCAATGAAGCTGACTGGGTGACTTGGGGCAGTTGTTCTTCCTCGGCCTAACCTGATTCAAAGCACTGTTGGGAGCAGAAAATGGAGGAAAGGGGAACCATGCACATTGCCCTGAGCCCCTTGTAGGAAAGGCAAAATAGCGATGCGGTTGAGTCCCTCCATTAGGTTCAAGAGCCAGTTCACAGAAGCAGCCCTGCTTACTGAAAGCTAACCTCCTGAATGTCCCTGAAGAAGAAGAATGGAAGAGATTGGATTTATGTCCCACCCTTCACTACCCGAAGGAGTCTCAGAGTGGCTTACAGTCTCCTTTCCCTTCCCCTCCCCACAACAGACACCCAGGTGGGGCTGAGAGAGCTCTCTCGAGAACTGCTCCTGAGAGAACTTGTGACTGAGCCATTCTGGTGACCCTTAGCGGGGCGTGAAGGCGAGGGACATTCAGAGGTGGCTTGCCATTGCCTGCCTCTGTATCACGACCCTGGTATTCCTTGGAGGTCTCCCATCTAAATACGAGCCAGGGCCGGCCCCGCTTGGCTTTCGAGATCGGACGAAACTGTGCTTGCCTGGGCTACATTCCGGCCTTTGACCACCCTCTCCTTCTCCATTACACCCTCTAGCTCCACCTAAGATTTCTAAGAAACTAGTAACCATCAGAATATGTTTTACTTGATCAATTAGTATATGCGGTGAAGAAAAAAAATACCAACCAATGCGTGACATGGAAGATGCTGTTTCCAGGGCCAGATCTTGCTTTCCGAAATACAAAGCAGAACAATGGGAAGGGCAGGGGGCAGCCATTAGGGAGGGCTGACCCACGACCCACTTTCAGAGGCTTTGTGACCCACTTTTTGGTCCTGACCAACCAGCTGGGACACTGAAGTAGGTTATACAAAGAGAGCGTGACAGGCCCAAGGTCATCCAGCAAGCTTCCATGGCTGAGTGGGAATTCAAACCCATGTCTGCAGGATGCTACTCAGGCACTCTAACCACTACGCCACACGGGCTTCCACACTGCATCTGCTAGCTACATGTATTGTTCTGGCTGACAACCTACTTATCTCCATCTGAACATGGCCCAAAGTGAGTTCAGGATCACTGATGTGAAGCATATCCAGCCGTTGGGTTCCAAGTGTCAACTGGATAAAACAACCCAGCACAGGCCACTGGGGTCCTGAACCACGTGCTCCCTTATGTTTACAAAGCGAAACCATTCAGTGATTTCTCTGACCAAGTGCGAACCTTCGATCTCAGCCGAAAACAATGCTTCTCGGGTCAGCGAGCTTTAGCAGCACTGGAAAGTACACGATAATGTTTTGGGATAAACAAAAGCTTCGACGGCACTTTCGAACGAAGAGCATTTTGACTTACCTGATTGTCGGTTCCGACGTCGATGCACACGGGGAGGCATTTATCGGGCCGTATGCCAGCACAGGCTGTGTAGAGACAGAGTTTACCGACGGGGATCCCCATTCCATACACACCCAGATCTCCAAGGCCCAGGATTCTCTCTCCATCAGTGACTACGACAGCCTTAAAAGTGGAAAAATTGATTTTTTTTTTACTCCCATATGCAAAAGGGACATGATCGCTCTCTTTAAATATCTGGAAGGCTGTCGTTTGGAGGAGGGCAAGGAGCTGTTCCAGTTGGCAGCAGAGGAGAGGACCCGAAGCAACGGGTTTAAATTGCATGCAGAAAGGTATCGGCTGGATATTAGGGGAAACTTTTTCACGGTCAGAAATTCAATGTTCCCTCTAAGCTGTGGAGTTTTGTGAGCAAAATTTCTACTGTGTGAGCTACTGGCATTAAAGTTGTGAGCGAGTGATCTGGCTACTGCATAAATTAGTTTGCTCTGGAGCCATCCTTCCTGAGCTAAGAGAAAAATGTGTGAGCAGGAGACTAAAAAATTGTGAGCTAGCTCACACTAACTCAGCTTAGAGGGAACACTGGTCAGAGTGGTTAAAGGTGGAATCAGCTGCCTGGGGAGGTGGTGAGTTCCCCTTCACTGGCAGCTCTCAAGAAGAGGCTGGACGAATATTTGTCAGAAATGCTTTAGGCTGGTCCTGCACTGGGCAGGGGGTTGGACTAGATGGTCTGTAAGGCCCCTTCCAACTCTATGATTCTATGAAGTCGAAGCAGTGAGGTCCAAAACTCTATTGTCTGACTTCCCCTAAAATTCACATGCTCTTTTGGGATTTAGGGCCAAACTAGATCCCTGGGTGTTGGGCTGGCTGGGCCATTGGCCTGATCCAATATGGCTTCTCTTATGATCTTAAGAGCAGAGGTCCTTGAGCTGCTATTAGCCACAAGGTCTAGATGGTCTGTGTTCTGGGTGCTTGGGGGGCAACAGTTAGGGGGGCTTCTGGAGTTCTGGCCCCGCTGGTGGTCCTCCTGATGGCACCTGGTATTTTTGGTAACTGTGTGACACAGCACGTTGGACTGGACGGGCCATTGGCCTGATCCAACATGGCCGCTCATGTTCTAGACAATACTGTGCCCCCAGGTCGACCACAGGACATGGAGCCATTTCAGGGTTTGTTTCTTAACTTTGCAAAACCCCTCAGAGACCTGATCCTGCTTCGGACTGCAGTGTGGGGTGATGAGGCGCTGTTCCCACCCCTGCCATTTTCAATCTTATTTCAGCTCTTGAAAACAGCACTGGGCAGGTGGGAGACAGGAGCACTTCCTGCCCCCACAACATGACTCCCCTGCAAGACTGGGCTCCCATGGTATTTTGCAAAGTTTAAAAAACTCTAAAATGGCACTGCGTCCCTGTTTGGTATAATGGTTAAGAATGCAGACTTTAATCTGGGAGAACTCCTCCACATGCAGCTGCTGATGTGACCTTGGGTCAATCAGAGTTCTCTCAGGGCTGTTCTCTCAAGGGCAGTTTGTGTCAAGAGCTCTCTCAGCCCCACCCACCTCACAGGGGTGTCTGTTGTGGGGAGGGGAAGGGAAAGGAGTTTGTAAGCCGCTCTGAGATTCCAAGTGAAGGGCGGGGTATAAATCCAATCTCCTCCTCTTCTTCTTGTAGCGGTCTCGGGATGCAGTATTGTCTACTTTGGTCCTGAGAAAACCTTGCCAAGGGGGCAAATGTAGGTTTGCCCAACAGGGGCAAATAATGCCCTCTGGAGCCACTGCAGGTCAGAAGACAGCACAGACTTAAGTGTATGCCGCCAGCTTCATTGCCATTATTACTAGTACTACCTAGTGTGGTTATGTAGTCCTAATTTATTAATGTATTTATTGTCTTAGTGTTTTAAATGTTGTTAGCTGCCTTGAGCCAGTCCTGTGGCTAGGCGGGATACAAATCGAAATCATAAACAAGAATATAAAAATAAATAAAGTCCCTTCTCCCTGAGCATACTGGTCCTGAGTTAGTGTGAGCTAGCTCACATTTTTTTAGCTTCCAGCTCACACATCTTTGTCTTAGCTCAGGAAGGAGGGCTCCAGAGCAGACTAATTTACGCAGTAGCCAAATCGCTCGCTCACAACTATAATGCCAGCAGCTCGCAAAGAAGAGGTTTTGCTCACAAGATTCCACAGCTTAGAGGGAGCATTGGTCCTGACCCAAATTGGGCCCCCACACCACTGGAAACAGAGTTCCTGGTAGGAAACTCATAGCACAGATCTTGGTGCTTGGGGGGGTCAACAGTGGGAGGGCTTCTAATGTCCTGGCCCCCCTGCTGGACCTCCTGAAGGCCCCTGGTATTTCTGGCCACTGTGTGATACAGAGTGTTGGACTGGATGGGCCTTTGGCCTGATCCAACATTGGCATCTCTTATGTTCTTATGGTAGAAAGTCCATCTGGCAGACCCGGATGTGACACAAGGATCATGCAATATGAAGTTAGGTCTCAGAAACCCGGAAGCGGAGCACAAGTTGGCCAGGACATGGGACAAAGAAGAAGAAGAAGAGATTGGATTTATACCCCGCCCTTCACTACCCAAAGGTGTCTCAGAGCGGCTCACAAACTCCTTTCCCTTCCCTTCCCCACAACAGACACCCTGTGAAGTAAAAGAAGAAGAAGAAGAGATGGGATTTATACCCCGCCCTTCACTACCCAAAGGTGTTTCAGAGCGGCTTACAAACTCCTTTCCCTTCCCCTCCCCACAACAGACACCCTGTGAGGTAAAAGAAGAGGAGGAGGAGATTGGATTTATACCCCGCCCTTCACTACCCAAAGGAGTCTCAGAGCGGCTTACAAACTCCTTTCCCTTCCCCTCCCCACAACAGACACCCTGTGAGGTAAAAGAAGAAGAGGAGGAGATTGGATTTATACCCCGCCCTTCACTACCCAAAGGAGTCTCAGAGCGGCTTACAAACTCCTTTCCCTTCCCCTCCCCACAACAGACACCCTGTGAGGTAGGCGGGGCTGAGAGACCTCTGACAGAAAGTGCCCTTTCAAGGACAGCTCTTGTCAGAACTATGGCTTGCCCAAGGCCATCCAGACACGTGTAAGTGGAGGAGTGGGGGAATCAAACCCGGTTCTCCCAGATTAGAGTCCGCGCACTTAACCACTACACCAAACTGGCTCCACAGCGGCTTTCACAAGTTATTTATGATTGTTATGGTCCAAATCCCAGATTAGAAAGATGCACCCTTATTTTTAAGTCATCCATTATCTGTCCCTGGGGAATCCAGGCTGGCATGAAGGGTAAAACACACAAAGGAAGAAGTACCTTCACGTCATTTTCCGGCCAGTTACCTATGATGGATCTAACATGGCCCCTGTCGCTTATGGCAATGAATAATCCCCTGTAAAAAACAAAACAAAAGCATATCGACGGTTGGTTGTTTTACACCATATCTTTTTATAAGAGAAAACGGCATAATATCTCAAGAAATCATTTGGAAAGACGGCTTACGGTTGTTTTTTACAACAATGGACAATGCACATGAGATGCAGCTAGCTGGAATTGTCCGGACAAACACCTAACAGGTCAAACGTATTGTGAAAAGTGTATGTAGCTAGAATGTGCAAAATTCATCTAAGCTCATTCACAGCTAGTAACATCATTTCACTCTGTCAAGTGAAATAAAGCTGAGCAAAATTTTATAATCCAGGGGTCTCCAACATGGTACCATGGGTGCCATGCTGCCCGTGGATACTTTTCCTGGCATCTGTCAAGTGCTTTTAGAAAGTGGGCAGGGCTAGGTGGGGCTTTTTCCCAGCAGGGCTTCTGATTGGCTGTGCAGATTAAAAGATATCCTGTTAAACAGAGCTTTTCCCTGAAATGCTGAAGAGTTACTATTTATATAACCTCACTCCCAGACTTTTTGTGATTATCTCCACCTCCTGAGGCAGCCATTTTGTGATTGGCTCCACCTCCGGTGGCAGCCATTTTGTGATTGGCTCTGCCTCTTGTGGCAGCCATATTGTGGTTGGCTCCGCCTCCTGTGGCAGCCATATTGTGGTTGGCTCCGCCTCCTGTGGCAGTCATTTTGTGGTTGGCTCCGCCTCCTGTGGCAGCCATATTGTGGTTGGCTCCGCCTCCTGAGGCAGCCATATTGTGGTTGTGCCACCGTAGAATTCCAAAGGTGCCCACAGACAGAAAAGGGTTGGGGACCCCTGCTGTAATCCAACAGTGCTAACCATCTACTGCATTTTACAATGCCTTCTCTCCAAGAAGCTCCAGGCAGTTTATGCGCCCTTGCTCATTTTATCCTCACAAAAGCTCTGACAGGTACATATGGACAAATGAAGCTTTCTTACCCCAAGTCAGAACACTGGTATATTTAGCTCAACGTTGTCTACAAAGACTGAAGACCCTTTTAACTGGAGATGCTGGGGATTGAATCAGGGACCTTCTGCATACGAAGCACACATTGTACCACATGGCCCCTCCCCTCAACTGGGCAGGGCTAGGCGCAAATAGAATGACTGGTCCACGGTGATCTTTCATGGTCAACTGGAGATTTGATCTCTGGTCCCAGTCCTAATTTTACACACTAATCACTTCATAGCACTGTGTCTCATCAACATTAGTGCCTAGAAGTGTGTTCTAAGCTATACTTCAGCAAACAGAAGAGACCAGGGAAGCTAGAGAGAGACTGGGGAAGCTAGAGAAGGAGTCGTCTGTCCTAACATTCTCCTCTTTCCCAACTATTCTTCTGAGAGTATAAATTCAGACTTTTACAAAAATTCAGGGTAGACGTTCCTAATTCATGTGGCAAAATTAAAAAAAAGTTATTAATCAACTCCGTACTTCAGAACAACGCAAAAGGCTAGAAATGTTAAATTTTGTAGAAGTACAATTCATTAATATTTTTAATCTGCACTGTGTTGGATTTCGGAAGTGGACCCTCTTATCCCAACTGGTTGAGTAGCACCTCCTTAAAACTTCTTATGATGTCTCACTTCTGTAATGCTTTTTGGTAACCTGGGACTGTCTTGTTTGTTCCTGTATGCTGTGCGATGGGTCTCTGACCGTAATAAACTCTGCTGATGAACCTGGTTGAGCTAGCACGATGGCACAGAATGCGCATGAACATGGCACAGGATGCTCATGAGCTGCTCAGGAACAAAATTATCAGACAGTTTACAGACCATCTTCTAAGGAGAAAGGAAAAGTTGTCAGCGTGGCTGTGTGTAAATGCAGTCAGAAGGTAGAAGTAACTTGGCAGGGCATACTGAGAGCTAGAAAGAGATACCAAGAAACAGGGAACCAAACGAGTAGAAAGTTCAGACAGAAGCAGATAAAGAAGGGTGCAGAATAAGCAAACAGACTTGAGAAAGAGAAACCGAAGAGCAGATGGAAAAGGAAGTTGGAGAGAAAGAGGAGAGACCAAGAACTCAAGGGGGGGGGGAGATCAATAAGAGAAAGAGGAAGTGGGGGTTGCATACTAATTTAGACCAGTGGCTACATGTTCCTTCAATGTGAAAGCGGCCTTATAGAGGTATGCAAGCAAAAAAGAGAAACTGTCCTCTGTCTCTGAGATTCCAGGGTGAAGTAACTGTAATTCTAACAGCCTTCACCAGTAATTTCACAAACATACACAAGTCGCTCTTACTTTGGCCTTCTAAAAATATGTCCATACTGGGTACATGCTAGGCCCACAGTTGGCGTATAAACGATCGGCATTAACCGCTCGATGTCGTCCTGTAATACCCTGTAGAATAATTTCTCATTTCTTTCCTGGATTCCCATTATGTAGATGTATCTATAAGTTAAGCAGAGACGGGGAAAGGGAGGAAGAAGAGAGGTCAGATTTGGATACTGCCCACTGCCAAATATCCCCTCCCCAAACCCAAACCGTTTAAAAAAACCAATACAAAGCATTACGTACACGACTAGACCAAAGCATACACAAATGTGACCCATTTACAGTTTCCATTTGGATAAAAATTAAACATGTCCCAAAAACTTTTTTACTAGAGTAGGAATTAGTTCCTTGGTCTCGGAAGCTAAGCAGGGTCAGCCCTAGTTAGTCTTTGGATGGGAAAACGACTAAGGAATACCAGGGGCACTACACAGAGGCAGGCAATGGTAAACTACTTCTGTTCATCTCTTGGCTTGAAAACTAGGGTTGCCAAGTTGAATATCCTTACTGGCGGGGGAGCGTCGCCGGGCTCTGGGAGCTCTCTTCTGATGTGCGCACAAAGCGCGCACGCGCCGCCAGCACGTCCTGGAAGTGATGCGCGACGTCGATCACATTGGGGGCGTGGTTCTCCCTGGGGCCTGATTCCGCGGCGGCGGAAATCGGGCCTCCAAAGCGGGGGTTTACCCGCCCCCCGCCCCCACCTGGCAGCCCTATTGAAAACCCTACTGGGTTGCCATAAGTTCGCTGCAACTTGATGGCAATTTCCACCACCCTCAGGACTTAGTTGCTTCCAAATGCTCCTTGAAATAGCAAGAAGGGTAACTTTTTAATATGGTATATAAGAACATAAGAAGAGCCCTGCTGGATCAGACCAATAGTCCATGTGGTCCAGCATCCTGTCTCACATACAGTGGCCAACCGGTTCCTCTGGATGGCCAACAACTGGGCATAGAGGCTGAGGCCTCCATTAGAACATAAGAAGAGCCCTGCTGGATTAGACCGATGTTCCATCTGGTCCAGCATCCTGTCTCACTCAGGGGCCAGCCAGTTCCTCTGGAGGGCCAACAATAGGGCAGAGAGGCCAGGCCTCCATAAGAACATAAGAAGAGCCCTGCTGGATCAGAACAATAGTCCATCTAGTCCATTATCCTGTCTCACACACAGTGGCCGGGTAGGTCATCTGGATGGCCAACAACAGGGCACGGAGGCTGAGGCCTTCCCCTGATGTTGCTTCCTGGCTCTGGGATTCATAGGCTTAGTGCCCCTGAATGTGGAGGTTCCCCTCAGCCACTATGGCTAGGTTTTGCATTCAGCGTTACAGACCCACATACTATACATGGTTATTAATTGCATTTCAGTAAAAATGACTTTAGTCTGCAGCTACAGCTCTGTGCTCAATCCCTTGGGCATAGACCTATGAACTCACTTGGATTTGCTTGCAATAAAACATGAACTCGATTGGGCTGCAGTGATCCATTTCTAATCATAAACTAAGGAGACGGTGGTTAGTCACCGTTTAAAGATAAGATGCAGCACTCCCTTCCTAAGCGGTTCTGTGTGAAACTCTGCTCTATGAGCAAGTTATCCACCGTTCTGTTAGAACCTGAATCCAAAACGAGTTCATTTATTAACAAGCCAGTCGTGAACCGTGCCTGTGCATGTGTGTTAAGTGCCATCAAGTTGCTTCCAAATTATGGCGACCCCATGAAGTAATGACCTCCAAAAACACTAACCACATTGTAGGGGGGAATGAGACACACCGGCAGTGTGTTCTGAAAGGCGGAGGTCCCTTTCGCAAGGACCGCCAACCACTAAAAACGCATCAGGAATATTTGGCAAAAGGGAGAGATGTGCGGCTTCGATACAACAGACTTTAAGAAAGGTCAAAGAGCAAGCCAAGTAAATATTCTTACAGGAGGTGTTTCAATGGCAGCACCTTCTCGCAATGGGAAGTGTCCTCTTACCAAGCACTTTTAAAAGCTGGTTTAACCAATCGCTTTCACTAGTGAATTCAGCACAAGCTGACTTTTTGTAGCTGGCATGGGGCAAGTTGGAGTGGTTTCCACAAGGGGACAGGCTTCTGCGGTTTCCCTGCCGCTGCTTTGGTTGCTGAGACAGAGCAGTGGTAACGAGGCTTCCACGTGGCAGCATTCCCTGCAATCTCCCTGCCCCAATCTCCCAGCAGTGGCCATTCTTCTTCTCCTGGGCTCTTCCATATTTTTTTTAAAAAAAATAGCAATCGAATACCATCACTATAACTTTATAACAGTCTGTAGCAGTTCACACTGAATTCCCTGCTTCCATTTAAAAGTAAGTCCCTAGTTCCTTTTGTTGTGGAAATACACCTTTCCCCTTATATCTCCGTAATGAAAGGGGCTAGAGACGGACTTTTTAGGAAAATGAAGAAGAAGAAGAAGAGATTGGATTTATACCCTGCCCTTCACTACCCAAAGGTTTACAATCTCCTTTCCCCTCCCCCTCCCCACAACAGACACCCTGTGAGGCAGGTGGGGCTGAGAGGGTTCTTGACAGAAACTGCTCTTTTTCAAGAACAGCTGTGCCAGAGTTAGGGCTTGCCCAAGGCCATCCAGCCAGGTGCAAGTGGAGGAGTGGGGAATCAAACCCGGTTCTCCCAGATTAGAGTCCGCGCACTTAACCACTACACCAAACTGGCTCTCTATGAAATGAATGAAAGCTGGGAATTTAGAGAAACTGATAAAGAGATTGTTAGAATGTTATAGCGAAATAATGACGGTCAGGGGAGGAAGCAACTTCTTCAGGGACAGGGAAAACGGCTGCGGGGTGGGTGGGGGAAGCCTGAACTTTCCCAGCCACATGAGGGCAATTGAAGTATTGCTGTGATCTTTTCCAAAACTCTGCAGCCAATCAGGTTGTACTGGAGAAAAGCAAGGGAAAGCCTGGAAGTTGCACAAAGGCACCAAGATGCTGTGAGGAAGTGGGGGGGGGGCAGGAACACCTGCTTCCCAACAGCATTGAATCCGGAGCAAATAACCTGTGCCGAAACGGTCCTGGTCAACACATGTCCAAACCACAGCAAAAGCCCATTTCATCACTAGTGAACAGCCATTCAAGTGACTTCTCTAGCACACTCTTACTTTTGCAAAGGGTCGGTCATTTTGGCCAGATTTCTATGGAAGCGCATGGCTTGGATGTCTTGGGTCTCTATCTTTGGAGGCAGAAGTCCTTGGAGCCCGAGCATCTGACGTTCTTTTAATGTAAAAGCCATACCCTGGAAACGGGGGGAAAGAAAGTTAGGAAAACTAATCCAGAAAACAGATATTCTCATATTAATTCCAACAAAACGGAGGCGCTACTGGTGGAGGGAGAGGCTGATCAGGGAAATAGGCTACCTCTTGGGTCTGGATGGGGTTGCACTCCCCCCCGCAAAGGAACAGGTTTGTAGCTTGGGGGTACTCCTGGACCTGGGCCTCCTGTTGGATAAGCAGGTGGCAAAGGTGGATGGAGGTGCCTTCCAGCAGTTTTGGCTGGTGAGCCAGCTGCAGTCCTACCTGTGCAGAAAAGGTCTCGCCACTGTGGAACATGCCCTGATAACATCCAGATTACTGAACTTCCTGACAGTCAGAGCGGTAAACCAACAATAAAACTTTCTTCAAATACATTAGAAACAGGAAACCAGCCAGGGAGGCAGTGGGGCCCTTGGACGACCAAGGGGTAAAAGGAGTATTGAAGGATGATAGGGAAATGGCTGAGAAGCTAAATGCATTTTTTGCCTCCGTCTTCACTGTGGAAGATGAGAAGTGCTTGCCCACTCCAGAACCACTGATTTCAGGAGGGGTGTTGGAAGACCTGAGTCAGATTGAGGTGATGAGAGAGGAGGTCCTAAAACTGATAGACAACTTAAAAACTGAAAAATCACCAGGCCCAGATGGCATACATCCGAGAGTTCTGAAAGAACTCAATTGTGAACTTGTGGATCTCCTGACAAAGATATGTAATCTTTCCTTAAAATCTGCCTCCATTCCTGAGGATTGGAAGGTAGCTAATGTCACTCCCATCTTTAAAAAGGGTTCCAGAGGAGATCCGGGAAATTACAGGCCAGTCAGTCTGACGTCGATACTGGGTAAATTGGTGGAAACCATTATTAAGGAAAGAATTAGTAGGCACATGGATGAACAAAACCTATTGAGGCAGACTCAGCACGGTTTCTGTAAGGGAAGATCTTGTCTCACTAACCTGTTAGTGTTCTTTGAGGGGGTGAACAAACATGTGGACAAGGGGGATCCAATAGATATTATTTACCTTGACTTCCAGAAAGCTTTTGATAAAGTTCCTCATCAAAGGCTCCTAAGTAAGCTCAGTAAGTAAGTAAAGGCTCCTAAGTAAGCTCCTAAGTAAGCTCAAAAATCATGATCCAGATGACCCGGGAGGTCCCTTCCAACTCTATGATTCTATGACTGCGATGCACTCAACATGGGGCTGACAAGCGACTGTTCCCACATCTTTTACAATGAACAGAACAGACTTTCCTCAGCTCTATTCTGCATGCAGGCAGGGGAAAGAGAGTCATGCTTCCCATTCTGCCTTCATGAAATGCACTCAGTTCCTGTGCGGATACAGGGACCAGTCCCACTAATCTGAGATTTTATCTCTGTTTAGCTTCTGCAGAAGATGCAGATGTGCTCAGGTATTCCTTTCCCAGAAGATTTAGGCTCAGTTTGGGAATGATCCAAATGGTCGAGCAACATGTGTTTAAGAAGCAATAAATGTCTCTCTTATTCACGAGAAGGGACGGGCACTTTGATGAGAGGGCCGTAAACCAGGGCTATTTTTGGGCAGGAACGCACAGAAACGGTGTTCCGGCTGGCTCCCAAGTTGGCCACGCCCAGCAGGAACTCATGAGCATAATAGGCCACACCCAACAGCAAAAACATTAGGATTGGCTACAATTAGGGGTGTGTGGCCTAACATGCAAAAAGCCCTGGGTTTTGACAACAAAGGTAAAGAGAATAAGAAGCGAAAGGTAGATGTGGCTGGAGGACCACACTTCTGGTAACATGGGGGTGCGGCCTAATATGCGAATGAGCTGTGCTGTCAGGGTGTGGCCTAATATGTTAATGAGTTCCTGCTGTTAGGTACGGCCTATTATGCTAATGAGTTCCTGCTGGGCTTTTTCTACAAAAAAAGCCCTGCCGTAAACCTTCTACGACATCACTTCTTCAACCGATTCCCATTTGCGGTGCCTTCCCCAGCTCCCTCCTTCGACCTTCCCTCGGTCTCCTTAATCCTCTTATCACTCAGCTTCAATAAAACAAGCATGTACAGTCAGCTCAGCAGTGACCTTGGGGGTTCTCTCTGCGGCAGATTATTGCTTATTTCTCCTGTCTACAGAATGCCCCCCCCCTCACAAAAATGTCTGCCCTACCCTACATCAAAGATCCTGGATCAGCAATTAATGCTACAGCAGGGCTGCCAACTCTGGGTTGGGAAATTCCTGGAGATTTGGGGGGGGGGAATCCTGCAGAGGGCGGACTGTGGGGAGGGACCTCACCAGGTAATAGCGCCATAGAGCCCACCTTCCAAAGAAGCCATTTCCTCCAGGGGAACCAATCAGTGTTCCCTCCTAGCTGAGTTAGTGTGAGCTAGCTCACAGTTTTTTAGCCTCCGGCTCTCACATTTCTGTCTTCGCTCAGGAAGGAGGGCTCCAGAGCAAACTAACTTATGCAGCAGCCAAATCGCTCGCTCACAACTTTAATGCCAGTAGCTCACAAAGTAGAATTTTTGCTCGCAAGACTCCACAGCTTAGAGGGAGCATTGGAACCGATCTCTACAGTCTGGAGGTCAGTTGTAATTCTAGGAAGATCTCCAGGTCCCACCTGGAGATCGGCAAGCCCAGGTCACTTTGAAAAGCAGACGGAGAATGGTGGATCAGGCGTCAACAAACCCAGTTTGTTATCACGATCCACTGCCCTGTCCATCATTCCATCGGCACACCCTTCTTTGCCTCTAGGGCTGGTAGATGGAAAGCCAAGCGGCACCCCTCTGAGGGCCGGATTTCAGCCAGGGGCTTCCAGGGGCTGGTCTAAGAGACGTCTAAGACGCTGTCCCCATAAAGGGCAGAAATGACACACAGCCAGGCTCTCCAGCCACCTCATCTTTGTCATGTATCCAGGGGTCATTTCGTAGAAAAAGAGGTGCCGGAGCTCATCTCATTAGCATAACTTATTTGCATATGCCACACCCCCTGACATCACCGGAAGTGTGTCAGAAGGCAACACCCACCGCTCAGGCTCCACTGGACTGTTTTGGATTGCTAGCTATTGGGGGGGGAGAGAACGCGCAGATCAGCCCTCACCGAGGAGAGCTTGTACCTGAAGACAGGCCGGGGGGGGGCCTCTGCAACTCACCTGGCTGCTTCGTGCGCCTTGTGGCCCGACTGAGGGCTGCTTGGAGCAGGGGGCGGGGCTTGTTGCATGTGCCTGCCCCCAGGCTCCTTACTGCCGGAGCTCCGCTCCTGTGCGCTCCTGCAGGAAATGACCCCTGCATGTATCATATGTATAGGTGTGTGTGTGGTGCCATCGAGTCACAACTTGATGCAGGGACGGCTTCAAGAGGGAGTTGGATAAACATGTGGAGCAGAGGTCCATCCGTGGCTATTAGCCACAAGGTATAGATAGGAACTCTGGGTCTGGGGCAAGGGATGCTCTGTCTTCTTGGTGCTAAGGGGGTGGGGGGCAACAGTGGGAGGGCTTCTAGTGTCCTGGCCCCACTGCTGGACCTCCTGGACTCAAACGTTGTTCTGCTGCTTTGGACAAAGATGGCTACCCAACCTGGATCCATTCTGCACAAGTCTGCAGCACAGTTTCAACGAGAGCCGGACCCCAAAGCCGCGCAGGGACGCTTTAGCCTCTCCACCATCAGGTTGGAATCGGGCGCAGAGGAAGAGAAGGTGAGCCCAGCATCCGTACAACCCACCTTATTTGTCCTGGGGTTCAGCATCAGGAGCTTGCCCTTTTCCTTGGTGTGTGCGCTGCGGCAGGCCAGCCCGCAAGGGGCCACGGCTATTCTTAATCGGGAAAACATTTCTTACGGTTCGCCTAGAAAAGAACACAGGAAAAGGCTTCGTTACGCGCCACCAGGAGAGCGATCTTGTTTCATGCTTGCAATGTATGTCAGAGATACGAACAGAACATATTGGACATGGAGTTGCCGGCTAAACACTACGCAGCCTCAAAAACCTGCTAACAACAGTGGCTGTCACCTACCCTTCCTCTCAGCCCAGAGTTGAGGGCATCAGAAGAGATGGCTTTTGTAGTACGCCTTTCTCTACCCTAAGGAGTCTCAAAGAGGCTTACAATCGCCTTCCCTTCCTCTCCCCACAGCAGCCACCTTGTGAGGCAGGTGGGGCTGAGAGAGTCCTGAGAGGACTGGGACTGGCCCAGGGTCACCCAGCAGGCCTCATGTGTCTCAAAGCGGCTTCTAATCGCCTTCCCTGCCGCTCCCCACAAGAGGCACCTTGTGAGGCAGGTGGGGCTGAGAGAGTCCTGAGAGGACTGGGACTGGCCCAGGGTCACCCAGCAGGCCTCATGACTCAAAGCAGCTTACAGTCGCCTTTGCTTCCTCTCCCCACCCCTGCCTGCCTCCCACAGGCACCTTGTGAGGCAGGTGGGGCTGAGAGAGCTCTGAGAGGACTGTGACTCGCCCAAGGCCACCCAGCTGGCTTTGTGTGGAGGAGGAGTGGGGAATCAAAACCGGTTCTCCAGATTAGAGTCTGCCACTCTTAAGCACTACACCAAACTGGTTCTCAACGTCGGACAATGGGCAGGGTCCCATGGATCTATTTCACTCGCTGAGGCACTTTCTTCCGAGAGTAGGAAAGGTCTCCTGGTGTGAGAGACTCTGAAGCAGAGGTCATTTCGGGGGGGATCGCAATTCCCCCGGGTGAGGTACGGGGGCGGGGCACATGACGAACCCCCGCCCCCCGCTTCCGGCCACCCCGCTTCCGGCCCTCATTCAGCCAGGGGGAGGCAGGAGAAGAGGGAGGGTAAGTTGCTTCCTCCCTGCCTCTCCCCACCCCTGCCTGCCTGGGGCCAGGGAGGACCTTCGCGGGGCTTCCTCGCACTCCCGCCGGCCTTGCAGGTCCACCGCTGGGCCCCTCATGGGGCTCGGCAGTGGAGCTGCAAGGCCGGCGGCAGCGGCCGGGACCGTTGGGGGCGGGGTGTGTGGCCTTATGACACACTCCTGGTGATGTCAGGGGGGGTGGCCTTATGACACACTCCTGGTGATGTCAGGGGGGGTGGCCTTATGACACACTCCTGGTGATGTCAGGGGGTGCGGCATATGCTCATGAGTTATGCTAATGAGTTCCCCTAGCTCTTTTTCTACCAAACAACCCCTGCTCTGAAGGGTCCTATCCCCGAAGGAAAACCTCTCAGATAATGAAAGACATGTGCATGGGACCCTACTCCATCACTCGGGTTGCCAGCTACAAGCTGGGAAAGACCTGGAGATTTTGGGGGTAGAGTCTGAGGAGGGCGGGGTTTGGGGGCAGGTATAATGCCATAGAATCCACCCTCCAAAGTAGCCATTTTCTCCAGGTGAACTGATCTCTGTCACCTGGAGATCAATGTCCTCTCCAGCCACCCCCTGGAAGTCGGCAACTCTAAACGAGTTATAACACATTAACTGAAATTAACTAGTGCAGGCCGCTTTCTGAACAGCACTCCCCATCTCCAGTTATTAATTAACTTGCGGATGGACGAGGAAAACTTCTTGAAGGAGGAAAGTGACTATAACTTTAATCAATTATAAACTGGAGAGCCGGGGGCAGGGGGGTACGAAGAACTGCTTTAAAATAAGATCTGGTTCCGTGTTGCGCAAGGCGAAGATAGTGAGGGGAATCACTTTCGCCTCGCGCCGTCAGCACTTTAAATGCTTCTGAAAGTCCTTTCGAAAGTTCTGCCAAGAATGTCGGAAGCCATTGTCCTCTGGCGCTTTTATTTTTAGAGCTCTCGGCGTCCGCCTTTTGAAGCGGCCCATTTTAACGTGCGCACACTTTCTCTCTTCCTAATAGGCATTTTTCTAAACCACAGATTTGAGTCACCACTGAGGACTGCCCTATTAAACAATAGGGATGGGGGGGGGGAATCAAGAAGAGAAAAATGTTTCTAAGCCTGACTTTTACTTATCCAGAGACTACCTAGATCTTATTCAGAGGGGGGGTTGCATCCCAACTTGTTTTGTCGCTTGGCAACAGAGAAGTGATGGGGGGGACTCCTTGTTGATATAAAGAAACACAAACCGCTTTTCAGAGAGTTTATTCAGAATGAGGCTGCCGCATATAAAACTTAGCTGGCTGGCTGTAATTGGCTCAGAAAGAAAGAAAAAGCACAGAACCTGACAGAATGCGGTGGCTCAAGTGGTTAAGACGCTGAACTCTAGTTCCAGCTCCTGCCAACCTAGCAGTTTGAAAGCAAGACGTCAGCAGTTCGAGACCCGGGTGCCGCAAAACGGAGTGAGCTCCCGTCTAAATTGCAAGTAGATAAATAGGTACCACTTTGGTGGGAAGGTAACAGCGTTCCGTGCGCCTTGGTGTTTAGTCATGCCGGCCACATGACCACGGAAACGTCTTCTGACAGCGCTGGCTCTTCGGCTTCGAAACGGAGATGAGCACCGCAACCCTAGAGTCGGATTCGACTGGCTTTCGAGCAAGGGAACCTTTACCTTTTATATGAATATATTTTTTAAAATGATTATGGAAAATGCAAACTGGAGGACTGGACCTAGTTCTTTAGAGCAGGCATGTCCAACAGGCAGATCGCGATTTACCAGTAGATCGCGGAGGGGTCAGAGGTAGATCACCAGCCCCACAGTTAAAGAAAGTTATAACTCAATTAAAAAAAATATTCGCAGTTCTTTCTGGATCTTCGTCTCTGTTTTGTTTTTGCTTATTTTGCTTACCAGTAAATGACAGTTTGAAAGCAAGAAATTGCAAGTAGATAAATAGGTACCACTCCGGTGGGAAGGTAACGGCGTTCCGTGCGCCTTGGTGTTTGGTCATGCCGGCCACATGACCACGGAAACGTCTTCGGGCAGCGCTGGCTCTTCAGCTTTGAAACGGAGATGAGCACCGCAACCCTAGAGTCGACTGGCTTTCGAGCAAGGGAACCTTCACCTTTTAAATGACAGAAGGTGCATTATAAATGGTGTGTGTGTGTGGAACCCAACTTTAGTGGGTTAAAATCTAACTTGAAACTAATTTGAAACTTTATTTTCATGGTGGTAGATCACCGGCACTTTTGGCCGGAAAAAATAGATCACTACCTGTTCGAAGTCGGACATGCCTGCTCTAGAGGAACCGATCTCTGTTGTGTGGAGATCAATTGCAATGTTGGCTGCTCCCCTGGCCCCACCCGGAGGTTGGCAACTCCATTTAGCAGCTTAACTGCCAACTGCCAATTTATATTATTTTAAAAGCTGAGGAAAGGTCCTGGGGATCAGCGTGAACTCCCCAAGAGCACCTATGACGGTTGCCAGCTCCAGGTCGGGAAATGCCTGGAGATTGGGGGGGGGGTGGCGTCTGGGAGAGCGGGGTCTGGGGAGCGGAGGGACTTCAGTGGGGTATAAAGCCATAAAACTAGGGTTGCCAAACTCCTGACAGCACCTGGAGATCTCCTGTTATTGCAATTGATCTCCAGATGACTAAGATCAGTTTCCCTGGAGAAAATGGCCGCTTTGGAAGGTGGACTCTATGGCATTGTAAAGGTAAAGGTTCCCTTGCTCGAAAGCCAGTCGAATCCGACTCTAGGGTTGCGGTGCTCATCTCCATTTCAAAGCCGAAGAGCCAGCGCTGTCTGAAGACGTTTCCGTGGTCATGTGGCCGGCATGACTAAACACCAAGGCGCACGGAACGCTGTTACCTTCCCACCGAAGTGGTACCTATTTATCTACTTGCAATTTCTTGCTTTCGAACTGCTAGGTTGGCAGGAGCTGGAACTAGAGACGGGAGCTCACTCCGTCATGCGGCACACTCGGGTCTCGAACTGCTGAACTACCGACCTTCCACAGCCTGCAGTTCAGCGTCTTAACCACTTGTACCCCACTGAAATCCCTCCCCGCCTTCCTCAGGCTCCAACCCCCAAATCTCCAGGTATTTCCCAACCCAAAGCTGGCAACCCTACAGAGAATCCACCGTCCACCTTCCAAAGAGTCCATTCTCTCCAGGTGAACTGATCTCTATTGAATATAAATTGAAAGTATTATTATTATTATTATTATTATTATTGCCAGGAGATCAGTGGTAATCCCAGGAAATCTCCAACCCCCACCTGGTGATGGGCAACCTTAGCGCCCACCCTTGAAGAGAAGAGAAGAAGAGATTAGATTTATACCCCGCCCTTCACTTGGAGTCTCAGAGCGGCTTACAAACTCCTTTCCCTTCCTCTCCCCACAACAGACACCCGGTGAGGTGGGTGGGGCTGAGAGAGCTCTGACAGAAACTGCTCTTTTTCAAGGACAGCTGTGCCAGAGCTTGTGACTGACCCAAGGTCACATCAGCAGGTGCAAGTGGAGGAGTGGAGAATCAAACTCGGTTCTCCCAGATTAGAGTCCACGCCCTTAACCACTACACCAAACTGGCTCTGGTGCGGGCTGAAAGCAAATGGGAAGGATTAAAGCAAATGGAGAGACTACATCCTCCCATCCAAAACAAAGCTAATTTTTCTACTCCCACTCCGAGGGCCCTTCTTAATCTCTCTTTCCGACCGACTGCAATTAGCGAAGGTTAAAACTGTCTTCACAATATACCTCCAGGGTGCGGAACAAACAAACTGCTCCTGTCTCCCTTGGCCTTCGAACAAATTAACGAACCTCTCTCCAGCTAATGAGCAACCTGTGAAACAGGATCCCTCTCCCGTTCCTTTGAGGAGCGAACAAAAGGAAAGGTGACCCAAGCGGCATATTATGGGCCCAAACGCCATGCAATTAATCCCACTTATTCTCTCCCCAGTTCCATCCCCGAACTTGCCATCTAAAAACATCTAAGTAACACAAATAGAATCTTCTTATTGATCCTCTAAATCGATTTTTTAAATTTGAT